CTTGGCGTGGATACTCAATATGCCCAAATGTGAAAACTGGTGGAGTTTGGGGAAAATAGACATTGACATTTGGGAGTTGTAGTTGCTGGGATTTACAGTTCACCTACAATCAAAGAGTATTCTGAACCCCACCAATGATAGAATTGGGCCAAACTTCCCACACAGAACCTTCATGACCAACAGAAAATACTGCGTTTTCTGGTGGTCTTTGGAGACCCCTCTGACATCCCCTCGCGACCCCCTCAGGGGTCCCGACCCCCAGGTTGAGAAACGCTGTCTTAAGGAAATTTTGGATCCTTATCACATCCTCTGGTGTATTCACTAGGCTTGGTTGATCAAAAAATGGTTCAAAACTAGTTTTGGATGTAGGAGGCGCTGGTGGTTCAATCCTAAAGTCACTTCCGATTTTTTTTAAAAAATTCAGAACTTTCCGAAACTTCTGAAACTTCCGAATCGCTTCATTAATGGCAGACATGCATGCGCAGTAGGAAAAAAAACAGCACTGGCACTGGGGAGACTTCAGGGGATTCTTCCTCCCTCATGTTTACCCCAATACTGATGAAACTTGCTACAGTGGTAGAACACATGGATCCACTGTTAGCTCACCAAATTTCATAACCTTTGACTTCTCCATGGAGTTTTGGTGAATTTTCAAACATTTTTAATAATAAAGAAAATCTGTTCCTGGTTTGAAAGTGTTGTTTCCTCTTTCATTGGGTGATCTTTACTTTGAAAGCAGTTGTTCTACTCCAGAAACTGTTTTTGTGGCACGAACTGTGTTAAATTCATGGAGAACAGAAATCATAGTCCAGACCCCATCAAGGGACATCTAGACTGACCCCCTTCTTCTGGGCAGAAAGGCACCATCCAAACTCTCCTGCCATCCATTTGCTTCCTCTACTGAGTTGGAGGGGACCCTCAAGATACATCCATCCATTTATTCCTATTTGCAGACACAATCAATCATTTTATTTTATCACTAGCCGTCCCCTGCCACACATTGCTGTGGCCCACATGGGGGTTCTGTGTGGGAGGTTTGGCCCAATTCTATCGTTGGTGGGATTCAGAATGCTCTGTGATTGTAGGTGAACTATAAATCCCAGCAACTACAACTCCCAAATGTCAAGATTCTATTTTTCATGTAGAGTTTGGTCCGGATCCATCATTGTTTGAGTCCACAGTGCTCTCTGGATGTAGGTGAACTACAAGTCCAAAACCAAAGGACACTGCCCACCAAACCCTTCTAGCATTTTCCGTTGGTCATGGGAGAACTGTGTGCCAAGTTTGGTTCATCGCTGGTGGAGTTCAGAATGCTCTTTGATTGTAGGTGAACTATAAATCCCAGCAACTACAACTCCCAAATGACAAAATCGTTTTTTTGAGTGAAGGACATACATTGGGTTGTTAGGTATCTTGTGTCCAAATTTGGTGCCAATTCGCCCAGGGTTTTTTGAGTTCTGTTAACCCCACAAACTAACATTATATTTTTATTTCTATAGATTACTTACTGACTGTAAAGGGCTGGTTGGCTGTGGCTGGCTTCCCAATGCCTTTTTCATGGCAATCAGGCCAAAGTAAAAGGATTGTTTTTTTAAGCAGTTTATGTTCTCTTGGCTTTGCAAAAGTTGCTCATTGCTTTGCCGCCTTCTTTAGACTCCTTTGTAGATTCAATCAGTTTATTTTATATTTAGGCAAAGACTGCTACAGACAGCTATAGTATTTTTGGGTCCTTCAGCCATTTCGGCTAATGAGCAGTGTGGGAAATGTAGTTTAACAGCAAGGCCTTTTGCAATCTCTAACATTGGGGGCCTGGCCTTCACAAACTACAACAATGGCTGTGCTTAGCCACACCCACCTCTGCCCTCCCTTGCATCGCCGGGGGAGGGAAAGCATGAGATGTTAAAACTTTGTAGGCTTTACCAAAGTTGCTCAATGGTTGTGAAAATTAAAATAACTTTGGGAGACATCCAATCATTATGGAATAGTTCCAGGAAAAAAAGGTAAGTGGTTAAAATTCAGATTCCTCTCCCCTCCCCCCCCCCCGCCCCCCACCTCTCCTGCATGGTTCAAAACTGCTTCGGAAGCCCAAATTTAGAAGTTTTCTTCTGACTTTCAGGCTCTTCTGAACGAACCTATCCAACTCTAGTATTCACTCCCTGTCCCAATTTGGTGCCATCTGTGAATCTGATCAGCATGCCTTCTAAGCCATTATCCAAGGCATTGATAGGAGTATTGAATAGGACCGAACCCTGTGGCATGTCATTGGCCACTCCATCCAGGTTGAATACTAATAATAATTGACAGTTTACTCAATATTGCAATAGAAATACAGAAGAGAAGGAGGGGGTTATTGTTGTATGTCAGCCTGTGATTGTGTCTGATGCTTTTGATGTTCATGCTGATGTTCAGGATGGGAATGGGGATGATGTTCTTGATGGTGGGCTGGGGTCTGTTGACATTTGGGATGAGGGTTCGCTTGGCCCTGAGTTAAGCTCAGATGAGAGGCCCAAACTGTCTCGGGAGGATTCACAAGGCCACATTCTTGGGAGAGGCCCTTCACAGTTTTTCTCAGAACTGTCTGAAGATGATCTGTCAGGTGCAGAAGTTTATGAGAGATCATGAAAGCTTGGACAGAAAGCAAAGTTTTAGTAAACAGAGACAAAGTCTCCAGAGACTAAGACGATTGGTTCATCTACAGCAGAAGAGAGATAACAAACCTTTATCTAGTGAGAAAGGTCAAGAGAAATGCTCTCCTTTCAGTTTTGGGATCTGGAAAAGCTTTATAATGATTCATGGGAAAGAGTTGCCCCAGTCGGGTCAACACTGGAATTCATCACGGTTTTGGTTTCAAGTACTCTTAGTTTCATATAACAAGTTTTTGCCAAGCTCAATATTTCTCTATGAGAATTTCCTGCTGTATTGTTTCATGGATTTAGGTGCCTAGTTTCATGGATTTTTATGTACTTATGGATTTTGTTTTCCCTTGAAGATTGTGGACTATTTTATATCAACCTCTACTGTTTTTGCTATTTTTATTGCTTTGCCTACTTATATTCTTCAATAAACTATTTGCTGATTTCACCAGCTGGTGTGGTGTTTAAGATCAGAGGTGTTCCTGCTCTGGTGCATGACAGATATCCTGCATTCAATATTATTCATAATTTTAGCCATTTTAACCAAACCCTAATGTTGTTTGGATATATGTATCCTGTTTTTCAAAAAGATGGAGGATAATGTCTGTTCTACCTAATGGAAGTGCTGGCCTTGCACCAAGAACCCCACTGGAAAATGATGTAGATGTGTAAGTGGAGGTACAGTGGAAAAGGAATGTGCCTTCATCTGTATATTCTGTGCTGGGTTTGCACGGCAACATCTATATATAGAAAGAATGGGTGAAGCAGTAGAAGTTTGCTGCCTTGACTCCTTCACCATGCTTCCAAGGCTCTGGATGGTGTTTTTCCTCCTGAAGCAGCTGCTAAACACGGAGGCAGATGGTGGGGATGAGAGCTGGCATCGATGGCCACCTGGTTCCCAACAAACTGTGCCAAGTTTTTCCAGAAAAAACATCCAGAAGGTACAAGATTCCCTTGCTTAGCTGATGGTTTAGGGCAGGCATGGCCAAACTTGGCCCCTCCTGGTGTTTTGGACTTCAACTCCGATAACTCTGATAATAGGAATTATGGGAGTCCAAAACACCAGGAGGGCCTAAGTTTGCCCATGCTTGGAGCACAGTCAGAAAGTGGAATTGGTCAAAATGTGGAACCCAAAAAAGGCTTACTTGGGATCAACCACATATGGGCTGAGGCTCCAGGACATTTTGGTGCCTTTCTCACTCATGTAGGCATTTGTAAGTCTTCCAGAACAATTCTATGTTCAGCTTCCAGCAGATGCCGACCATAAGTGTCATGCTTGGGAAGCTAGGGATTTTGAGAGAGCATATTTCTCTAGGCATTGGTAGGTTCACCAGTGTGATTCAGTGATGATAGAGTCATGCTGGTGGATTGAAACATTGCTAGAGAAAACACTTCTCTAGACCTTTGTAGGTCCATCAGCACAATTTGGTTGACCACTGAAGTTGACTGTTGAGGTTGATCAAGAGATTCCTAAAAATGACATTTGTCTAGACCAGTGGTTCTCAACCTGGGGCCCCAAGATGTTTTTGGCCTTCAACTCCCAGAAGTCCTAACAGCTGATAAACTGGCTGGGATTTCTGGGTGTTGTAGGCCAAAAACATTTGGGGACCCCAGGTTGAAAACCACTGGTCTAGACCAATGTTCCTCAAACAGTGCTCCTAATCAGCTGTTAGGAATGGTGGGAGCTGAAGTCCAAAACATCTGGAGGAACACAGTTTGAGAAACTCTGGTCTAGACATCTGTAGGTCCACCAATGCGACTCCATAGCCAACTTCCAGTAGAAGTTCTCACTGTAGAAGTTTTCCCTTATATTCAAATAGCTAAAGGTAAATGTTTTTCCCAACATTAAGTCCGGTCGTGTCCGACTCTGAGGTGTGGTGCTCATCTCCATTTCTAAGCCGAAGAGCTGGCGTTGCCGTAGACACCTCCATGACTGCATGGAGCACCGTTACCTTCCCACCAGAGCAGTACCTATTGATCTACTCACATTTGCATGTTTTTGAACTGCTAAGTTGGCAGAAGCTGGAGCTGATAGCGGAAGCTCACGCTGCTCACTGGATTCAAAACTGTGACCTTTCGGTCAACAAGCTCAGCAGCTCAGCACCTTAACCCACTGTGCCACTGGGGTCTCCTTAAAATAGTGTCTTAAAATGTTGTGTTCTTTCCTCTTTTGTGTAGATCCTGTACCCCTAACCCATATGAAAGTAGAGGTCCTACCATAATTAGGATTAACCTTTGTATAAGAGCTAGGAAAATGCTCAGTTTTGGGAGGATCACTCCCTGACTCTTTCTCCATCCAGAAAAGGTCCCATTTCCCTGGTCTCCATTTCCCTCCCCAAGCATTTGTGACTCTCCCAAGCTGCTCACCTCATAGCCATTGCGCTTCTTGAGCCGCTTCTTGTTGAGCCGCTTGTTGGCATACATCTTGCCGGTGGCCCTCATCTGGCAGGCGCAGACCTCCCCAAAGCCGCCTTTGCCCAGCACCCGGAAGTCCAGGAACCACTCATCTGTCACGCTCTGAGACTCCAACCACTTGAACTGGAGGAAGCGTCCAAATTGCAGGCTCTCCTTGTACTTGGTCATGGTGTTCTCCTCCAGGTACTTGAGCAGGTGCTGCTCGGCCTCCTTGAAGAGGTCTCCACGGCCGTTTTTGGCATCCTCCTTGACCCGCATTATGGCCTTCTCCTCCAGGAAGGGGCAGAACTCCTTGGAGGCTGAGTCAAAGTACTTGTTGACACTCTTCTGGGCCACCTTGGGCCGGTCAGCCTCCTCAGACGTGTTGTAGTCCTCGATGCTCTTCCACAGCCCACCAGCTGCCTTGAACTCGTCCGTCTCCTCCAGGAACTGCTGGAAGAGGCGCTTGCCGATGGGCTGGCGCACGCAGATGAAGTTGAAGGTCAGGTCCAGGCTGTCCTTCAGGTGTTCACATTGGGTGATGTGTGGCAGCTTCAGCCTGGCCCGCATCTTCTTGTCACGGCCCGTGGCAGGGCCACCTTCCCCTCGGGCCGACACATAGGCCGAGTTGGCCACCACCGTCTCCAGGCCTCCGATGTCCATGGTGGGACCTCACCTGGAAGGCAGAGAGGCAGCGCTAGTCAACATCTTGATCAAGGACAATGGGAGAGATCACATTGGCAGAGGACACCACATTGAGAGGGAGAGCGAATACCACAGAGGACAAGGTCAGCATTCAAAATGGCCATCGTAGATTGGAGAGTTGGGCCTAAACTACTAGCAAAGTGGACTTCAGCAGGGAGAAATGTACAGTACCACACTTAGGCCAGGCGTAGGCAAATTTCGGCCCTCCAGGTGTTTTGGATTTCAACTCCCAGAATTCCTAACAGAGTTGAAGTCCAAAACACTTGGAGGGCCAAAGTTTGCCCATGCGTGCTCTGAAGGCTAGGACATATTGGAAGGAAGGTAGAAAAATGCACCATATATTAAATCAGTGTTTGTCAACCTTCCTAATGTCACAACCCCTTAATACAGTTGTGTTGACCCCCAACCATAAAATTATTTTCGTTGCTACTTCATAACTGTCATTTTGCTACTGTTATGAATCGTAATGTAAATATCTGATATGCAGGATGTATTTTCATTCCCTGCTTCAAACTACAAGAAAGGAGATTCCATCGAACATGAGGAAGAACTTCCTGACTGTGAGAGCCGTTCAGCAGTGGAACTCTCTGCCCCGGAGTGTGGTGGAGGCTCCTTCTTTGGAAGCTTTTAAACAGAGGCTGGATGGCCATCTTTCAGGGGTGATTTGAATGCAATATTCCTGCTTCTTGGCAGGGGGTTGGACTGGATGGCCCATGAGGTCTCTTCCAACTCTTTGATTCTATGATTCTAAATTCTCAAATGGAAAGCTCATGAAACTTGGGGATGATTGATTCTCTCATTTGGGAGTTGTAGTTGCTGGGATTTATAGTTCACCTACAACAAAGAGCATTCTGAACTCCACCAACAATGGAACTGAACCAAACTTACAGAACTCCCATGACCAACAGAAAATACTACAAGGGTTTGGTGGGCATTGACCTTGAGTTTTGGAGTTGTAGTTCACCTACATCCAGAGAGCACTGTGGACTCACAATGATGGAACTGGACCAAACTTGGCATGGATACACAATATGCCCAAATGTGAACACTGGTGGAGTTTGGGGAAAATAGACCTTGACATTTGGGAGTTGTAGTTGCTGGGATTTATAGTTTGCCTACACACAAAGAGCATTCTGAACCCCACCAAGGGTAGAATTGGGCCAAACTTCCCACACAGATCCCCCATGACCAACATAAAATACTGTGCTTTCTGATGATCTTTGATGACCCCTCTGACACCTCCCTCGTGACCCCCAAGTCGGAAAACACTGTATTAAATGCTTATATCCTGGTAAAGCACAGAAAGCAGAAACTGTGGGGCTTGTGCCATTGTCTTGTTATTCCTGGCATGAATCTCAATGCCATTTCATTCTATTTATTTATTATTTATTTATTTACAATATTTATTTATACCCATACGGCGACTCAAGGCGGGTTACAGATTGGCACAATTTGATGCCAGACATTTAGAAAAGTGCAATTAAAAACAATCAACATGACAATATAAACATATTCACTTTCCTCCTGGCATTGGCCCATAAAACCTGAAGTCTTGAACTGGCATCTTGAGAATCGTAAATCCAACCTACACAATGGGTGCGGTAGTCCAGCTACATCAATGGGAAGATGAAAGGGTCAGTTTGAATTCAGACTGAGTGTATAATCTCTTTTCCTTGGTTTTTAAATAGATTGTTAGTGGATTTTAGATGCCGTTGACTAACTTTTGCCGAATTCTCTCCAGTATTGTGTCTTCTGGATGAGGTGGACTACAACTCTCATTACCCCCCGTTGGTTGTCTGGTGAGATTTCCAAGGTTGTTCACTTTCTTGTCTTTAGTAAAGTGAACGCCCTTGTAAATCTACAACTCACAGTTCCACAATGTAAACACACCCATATTGGTAATTTTTTAATAGTTTTGAAGGACTTGTCCATGGTGCTGAAACTATGATAGCCTTCAAGGTTCAACACTTTGAATATATAGATTAAAAACAGGCATGGGCCAACTTGGGCCCTCCAGGCGTTTTGGACTTCAACTCCCACAATTCCTAACAGCCTACCGGCTGTTAGGAATTGTGGGAGTTGAAGTCCAAAACACCTGGAGGGCAGCTGCACCTTCCCTGATGAAACCTTGCAGGGAAATCAGTGCCGGAATGATATCCAGCTGCCATTGTGCAGAATGCAACTTCCTTCTCATGCAGTATTGCAGGAGACTCGGCTGCCTCGGTGGAATCCGCACCCTTTTTGCCACCCACACGTTGCTCTTCAAACTGGGACACGGCACTGTTTGATCACTCTCATTCACAAACACGCACAACTATATTTAGGTCCCTATTAAAAATTGAAAAGCCTATTCCTCCCCATATTGCAAAGCTGTTTTATTATCATCATTATTTCTGATTTAAGGTGATTCTATGATTAGGTTTTCTTGGCAAGGCTTGTTCAGGATGGGTTTGTCTCTGAGGCTGAGAGAGTGTGACTTTGCCCAACTTCCAACCAACAGGTTTCCATGGCTGAGTGGGAGGATTCGAACCCAGGTCTGAAGACCCTTCTACACTACCATATAAAATCCAGATTATCCGCTTTGATTACATGACAATGTAGACTCGTATAATCAGTTCAATGCAGATAACGTGAATTTTCTGCTCTGATAATCTGGATGATGTTGCAGTGCAGAAGGGGCCTGACTTACATTTGGAAATGTCACCTCTCCACTCATCCCTTCTCCATTCTTTCAAGCACTGAAATAATAATAATAATAATAATAATAATAATAATATTAATAATAGAACTGCAAAGACTCTGGCACAAGCCAGTAAAGGTGGTTCCAGTGGTGATCGGCACACTGGGTGTAGTGCCTAAAGACCTTGGCCTGCACTTAAACACAACCAGCGCTGACAAAATTACCATCTGCCAGCTGCAGAAGGCCACCTTACTGGGATCTACACACATCATTTGCCAATACATCGCACAGTCCTAGACACTTGGGAAGTGTCCAACGAGTGATCCAATACAACAACCAGCACAGTGATCTTGTCTGTTGTGTACTCATCTTGTTGTGTTTCTAATGATGATGATGATGACGACGACGACGACGACGACGACGACGATGATAATAATAGGAAAGAAAGGAATGAACTGAAGCTACTCAATAGGTGCGCCTACACTGTAGAATCAATGCAACTTGACATGACTCTCGACTGCTATGGTTTGATGCTATGGAATCCTGGGTGTTGTAGTTTTCCAAGGTTTGCCCCAAAGTGTAGACTACAGCACTCAGGATTCTTTACAATCCATCCAGGGAAGTTCAAGTGGTGTCAAAACTGCATTAATTTGACAGTGTAGATCAGATATGGGCAAACCCAAGCCCTTTGGGGTCTTTTCTCAGGCCCTCCTCTCTCTCTCCCCAACCTTCCTTCCTTCACTCTTTCTTTCCTTTCTTCTTCCTTCTCCTCTTTCTCCTTTCCTTCTCTTTTTCCTTCCTTCCCTCCTCTCTCTCTTTCTTTCTTTCCTTCCTCTTCCTTCCTTCCTTCCTTCTTCCTTCCTTCCTTCCTTCCTCCTTTTTTCTTTCCTCCTTCTTCTTTCCTTCCTTCCTCCCTTCCTTTCCCATCTTCTTCCTTCCCTCTCTCCCTTTCCCCTTCCTTCCTTCCTTCCTTCCTTCCCTTTCTTCCTTCTCTCTTTCCTCCCTCCCTCCCTTTCCTCCCTCTTTCTCCTTCACTTCCACCCCTTCATCCATACTTTCTTCTTTCCCTTTTGTCTCTCTTTCCTTCCCTTTCCTCCCTCCCTCTCTCTCTTTCCCTTTCTTCCTTCCTTCCTTCCTTCCTTCCTTCCTTCCTTCCCTTTTGTCTTTCCTTCCTTCTCTCTTTCCTTTCTCCTTCCCTTCCTTCCATCCTTCCTTCCTTCTCTTTTCTCTTTCCTTCCCTCCCTCTTTCCTCCTTCCTTCCCTCTCTCCCTCTTTCTTCTTCCATTCTTCCATTCCTCCCTTTTCTCTTTCCTTCTTCTCTCTTTCCTTCTTCCTTTCTCTCTTTCCTTCCTCCTTCCCTTCCTTCCTTTTGTCACTGAGAAGCCAAACCTCACAGCAGGAAGTGCTAGCCTGTGGCCCCCAAGTTAGCAAGTTTGCCCCTGCCTGGTGTAGATGCACCCAACGTGAAACTTTGGCTTGCAAAAGGCATCCTGCACAACTTGTGGCCCATGTTTTTATCCTCCAGACAACAGCCCGGTGAGGTAGGCCAAGAGGCCAAAAGAGAAAGAGATCTGTCACAACTCAAAAAGGAATATCATGGCTCGATCGGGATTAGATTCTGACTCTCTACCACATCAAGGCCGGTGTGATAGATCTCTATTTTGCGCACATCCAAACTCGTCCCACCCTGAATTAGCCAAGGAGTAATTAAGTCTTTGCCTGAGCATCCCTCCATTGCTCAATGTGAGAGTGAGGAGGATTAACCCGAGTGAACCGGGACAAGGTGAACGTGCCTTTTGCAGAGAGAGAAAGAGAGCAAATGAAAGAGCCATTGTATTAGCTTAGGACAGGCATGGGCAAACTTGGGCCCTCCTGGTGTTTTGGACTCCAACTCCCACAATTCCTAACAGCCTACCGACTCTTCAGAATTGTGGGAGTTGAAGTTGAAAACACCTGGAGGGCTGAAATTTGCCTACGCCTACTTGAGAAGAGGATCTCAGTGGGTGGTTTGTTTTATGACCGAGGGAGGGGGACAGATCCTGCGCAGTGCCCCCATCCTCCCCACAGCAATGGGAGAGGACATGAGCCACGTTTAGGCCATGAAAGCCGCTTACGGCGGAGATTATCAAAGGTTTTGCTTAATGGGATTTGGGAAGGAGCCTTCGATGGGGGCATCTGCGTCCCCATGCCCCAACCCTGCCCTTGGCGCTTGGGTGGGCACTTGTAGCCACCCCACACAAAGAGGCACCCCTTTCCAGCCACGGGGCAGAGGACAGAATCCGCAAATCTAG